AAACGCGAGTCTCTTCTATCCTGAGGCAAAAAGTCGGAAACTTCTCAGACCCTTCGTTTCCAGCTAAAAGGCTTAAGGAGGCCTGCCACCTCAAAGCTTCACACACACCTCGGCTGTGTTGTTACACCTTTGCGTTGTGACGTCTTTTTTTGGGTCCTTTAGTAATTATAAGACGGCACCCAAAAAGGGACCCTAATTTTGACAACCACCCATCTGTGGAGTGGAGGGTCTCTGACAAATCATCATGCATCACATGTTTTGAGCTTGGAGAAACGATCATTATGCTCACGACTTGGCAACGTATAAGGCCTATTGGGATTTATAGGGCATGAGGTTACGATCAGGTTGAGGGCTTAGGCGTCAGCTGTTTGTGACAAAGCAGGACGCTGGCAGTATGTCGCCAATCATCAAACCTACTATCCGAACGATGCCCTTGCTAACCACTCCTGCTTGCATGCCTCACGTAAACGGTTTAGGGTTAGGGCCGCCTGATTGCTGTATGTACGGGTCAAAGGCTCGCGCCTGCATTGGACACAGGTACTCCGAAGATAGAAGGAGGAGTAGAGTCAACATCACCTGCTCGTTGTTTCCGCACGTAAGATCATTCCCTAAGGGTCCAAAGGACCCAATCATCAGGTGGCTAGCTCAAGACAGACCCTACACCCCAAACCCTATAAACCATAAATCTTGCACCCTACACCGTCAAACCCTATAAACCGTAAATCTTACACCCTACACCCCAAACCTGATACACCTGAAACCCTGCTTTACAGCGGAGAGACCGCACCTGCAGTTGGGCCCGGGTCTGCCCTGGCGCCGAGGCTTCCAAGCTTCCCGTCTTCGTGGGCTTCGGTTTCTTGGCGGCTTGGGACTCACGTAGGCCTTAGTAATTGGAATAGGGTTTTGGGTAAAATATGGTACAATTTTAATATACTCTAGTTGTAATAAGGAGCCCCAACAATAGCCTTGGTAATTTTACTAAGGCCCCTATATTACAGCCACGGGATTTGGAGTCGGGCGGGGGTTGAGGGCATCTACCGCGTGTCTTCCCATGCGGGGAACTCGGTGCGGGAGGCCTCCTGCATCCTTCGAGCCCCAGCCTGCGCCAGCGTGTGCAAGATGCCTTGACAGCGAGACTGTGCTTGCGGGATTGGCATTCGGCTGGTTGCAAGCAGCTGTGCTGAACGTGAACTGCGAGTGATTCTCCTCCCGCAGCTTCTTTCTCCGAGCTGAGGCCGGTGCTGCCCCGCAAGCGTCGGCGCTTCGCCGGAGCCTCTTCAGATGAGTCTCATTTCAGTCTCAGCCAGATGGCAACATGAAAATGAAAGCAATGGGATCATGACGGTTTGGGGTTTATAGGGTTTATAGGGTTGAGGGTTTAGGGTTCCCCTGCCAGGAGGCCTTCGCTGGTGTGTTTTCCCTGGCCTTCTGCCACTCAGAGCAGCGAGCCAGGGCCGCGAGGAGCCCTGCCGCGCCCTTCGGCGCCCGTGGCGGCTCCCAAGCACCTGGCTGCAAGTGCCCAGCCCGGGGAATCGGTGCCGAAGAAACGCGAGTCTCTTCTATCCTGAGGCAAAAAGTCGGAAACTTCTCAGACCCTTCGTTTCCAGCTAAAAGGCTTAAGGAGGCCTGCCACCTCAAAGCTTCACACACACCTCGGCTGTGTTGTTACACCTTTGCGTTGTGACATCTGGGTGGTTGTCAACATTAGGGTCTTTTTTTGGGTCCTTAGTAATTATAAGACGGCACCCAAAAAGGGACCCTAATTTTGACAACCACCCATCTGTGGAGTGGAGGGTCTCTGACAAATCAGGCCTTGGAGCCTCTCGCCCCCGGCCTGGAACATCCACCGGAGTTCCGCAAAAAAGAGACCCCCCCTCCGCATCCTCCCTACTTCAACCCCGAAATATCTAACTTTTCAAGGTCTTATACAACGGACATCAGAATCAGGAACCCTCACAAAAAAGCAGTGTTTGCAGGGTTGAGGTAAGCCCTAGGCCCCCCAAAAACCCGGCGCTTCCCCCCCGTGCCAACAAAGGCCTTGCCCTTGTATTCACTTGCATGCATATAGTGATGTAGCATTTTCTATGTCTAGCGGCACTCGATAGCACACATTACTAAACAATTCAAACTGCATGGAACAGCATTTGCTGCGGGCGATACGCCATGAAAGGTCAGAGAGGTCGTGCGTTGAACTCGGGGAAGACCGCAGCTCCGAAATGGTTTAAGATTTAGGGTTTAGGGCATAGGGCTTGTGGTGTTAAGTGCTTAAGGATTTGTAGGGTTTTGGGTTAAGTTAAAGCTGATAGAATTTGTTTTAAGGTTTGTTCCATGTCGTATGTCATGCTTTAAGAGCTGAGGGCCCCTTGATAGATCAAGGCGCTCATGGAGCAAGACATGGGCATCAAATTGGCGAGAGCAGCCCCCCATTCGACATGGCCGGGGACAAGGAAGCTCCCTTCAACCAAGTCTTCGGGTTTAGGATTTCGAAATCATTTGCCTTCCAACAAACGACCGAAGCTATCAGCAAGAAAACGGCAACCGTGAAAATCAACACGCTGGGGTCTCAGGTCCAGGATATTCCAGGATAAGGTACAACATGAAACAGTAGGTTATGATAACTTGACTCAAACTTCGAAGTGTAAGGCTTGGGCTTGGAGCTCCCTGTTTCGCATTTCTAGGGTTTAATCTTCGTTCACCGCTGCTTGAATCTTCCTTTTGCTGTACAGTCCTGTGAACACGTTGCAGCAGGTGGCAGATGCTGGCGAACGCCAATCCTATCATTCACAGTGTAACAACCTCCTAAAAAGCTCCTGGTCCTACAACCCCGAACTATGAGGATCCATATAAGGAACCCCAACAAATACTCAAAAATTCTTCATCAGGTTGTTATATGACCAACATGACGGTTGATCGCTCGTACGCACGCTGGCTAGGCCTAAATGTGAGGCTACTGCATCGGTTAAAGCCGCACGAAACCCGAATGCAAGATGCGTGTCACTAGCCAAGCGCTCATGCCCTCATGTCGTTCTGGTGTGCATGCATGCGTGATTCCTACATAATGCAGGTGGTGTGATGTTTGGCGCATGTATAATATGTATAACCAAGCATGCTTTCATTCTCTCCCCCTCCCCTGCTCCATTCTCCGTCTCTTGCTTTCTGTGCGTGCGTGCGAAAGACCGCAACTGCAGGGCAGACGTGCTCGCCATACAGGTCCCATGCTTCTTTCTTATCTAACTGGCAAAACTAAATGCGGTGAGATGGGTCCATCGGCAGAACGAGGAGCCAGTTGCAGGCAACGGTAAGGCAAATACTGCGTAGTGACCATAGGAAGGATAGTATTGGTACAACAAGTACTTATCGTCTTATCGTAATAATAGTGGACATGATAGTAGTGATGATAGTAATATAGAAAAAAGCTTGTCAATTTGTTGGTGATGGTCTTGGAGACGGTGTTGCTGAAGCTGAAAGTGCATTTGGTGGTGATATTGTTCGTATGCAGATTCTTTTGGTGCCTCAAACACCATGGCATGTATGCCATCCTTATGCAGCATACATGCAGCCTGTGCATGCATAAATTGTGCAAGACGACGACATCGCCGTGCAGGGCAATGCTCGCAAGCAGTGGACGGCAGCCATGTCTTGCAGGGTGTGCATTTCTGCATGTGCAAAGAAGAAATGACACGTCTGAAAGCAGGTTTTTCGTTCCTTTGTCGCAACTCTCCCATCCTGAGCTGGCACTTCGTGCGCACGGTGACCGAACAAGTGCTGTCAGATCTGCAAGCAAGAACAAGTTTCCTTGGGACGTTGCAAGTGCGCCAATTCCATGAAGATCCAGATTCAACCAACAACCTGGATTCAACCTGGCTTTGAACCGGGCTCAACCTGGGTGGAACCTCTTCTGTTTTAGGTAAGCTTGCACTGCTCTAGCACTTCGCCCTCTATTTTCACCGTGTTGGATCTGTCGGCTTCGCGGCTAGCCGAAGGCTGACAGTTACTGCAGGGCAGATTCTGTCAACAGGAAAATACCCCTCGGCTAGGCTTGGTGAGAAGACGAGTGAAAAAGGCATGCAATCGTCGGCTGTAAGAATCGGCTAGGCAGTTGAAAGGCGTGAAACATGGTGGCGAGTTGGCAGAGGCAGTCGATCAACGAGGCGTAGAACGACGCGGCACGAGGGGCCGGGGCGGCTCAAGCGCATCGACCCCAAGGCGTGAAACTGAAGGCTAAGGTGAAAACTCACGTTGGCTCAGCGCTGGAAGATGAAGTCGGCGTCGTCACACCTGTGCGAGAGGGGTTAGGGATGGGAGACCAGCGGGATGGGCTAAGTCCAGAGCAGCATGTCGACGGCGTTGAAGACTGATGAGACAGCAGGGAGGCGAGGCTGGGTTGAAAAAGGCAAAAGATGCAAAGGAGGCGCACCTGTGGGCTAGAGTAGACTCTGTAGCAGAGTCCTAATGGCTCGGCTGGGTCGCCCGGCACGTCGCTCAGCATTCGCTTGGCTTTGCAAACCATCACTGAGGCTGACCGCACCACTGAAGGCAGCTGGCTGGAGTACCTGGCGTGCGAGCGTAGATAAGGCGTGGGCGGGCGGGGCTTTTCGAGAACTGAAGTGCTAGAGCCCGGCTACACGTAGGCATGTAGAGATTCGCAAGCACCGAAAACATTCCTGAAACAAAACAGGTAACGTTTTAGGTAAGCTTGCGCTGCTCTAGCACTTCGCTCTCTATTTTCACCGTGTTGGATCTGTAGGCTTCGCGGCTAGCCGAAGGCTGACAGTTACTGCCTGCAGATTTTGTCAACAGGAAAATACCCCCAAATCAGGGACAGATCCAACGGGTAAATAAGGCGCAGCATAGAAGTCCCCCACCGCGGGAGGTGGAGCTGGACCTATGCGAAAGGCAGCGTGCAAGGTGACGCTCGTGCTGGGCAGACATGTTCCGACAAAAAAGGCTAGTCGGATTCTTTTGGCTCTGCGGGCGAGGTCGGTCGAGGGCTGATTTCGTCAGTCCTGGCGTGGCAAAAGCGGGCTAGGCACTTGATGGGCGCTTGCCCAAGAGGCCTCCGACGGAGGCTGACGCCAGGCGTTCCAGCGGTATGCGGACCCGTTTCTGCTGTCTATGGTTAAAGGCTTGAAGGCGACCGCGGCTAAGGTCGTCGGCCCACCAGCTACGTGGGACACTTGAAGGTTGACCCCGTGGCAGGACGACCAAGAGGCTATGAGCTGAAGGAACTGAGAAAGTGGCCAGCTGGTTGTGAACAGCTTATTAACCCCGGCTTCTGAAGGCGTGTTATCGCTCTGTGAGGGCAAGCAGACAGCAAACTGGGTAAAGGGGTGCCGCTCCCGGGCCGTCATGGCCAAGGCTAGTTGGGCTAGCGTCTCGAAACAGGCTATGTACTTTTGGGCATCTTTCGCGAGGAATGGCCAGGTCTGTCGGACCTCATCCATACTCCAGGATGCGGCGAACCTCTCCTTCAGCCATGGCGTCGGCTCTGGCTAGGCAGGGCATCAAGGGTGGGAGTATGAGAGAGGCTTGTGGTAGGGATGGAATTGATGCGTGGCAATAGCCAACGGAGGCTGTCCCGTGCTGACTTGGATAGTCGAATCTCCGGGCACGTGGGATCTGAAAGGCGAACCCAGGTAGGGCCGGAGGACTTAGGCTGCGGAGGGAGGTCCGCCTTGCAGTGTACGGGACGGCTGCCAACCTCGATGACGCGAGCGCTTGGCCTCTCTCCGCCGCTCCTTCGGCGGCAGACCCCGATGGCCTCGAGCTTCTCCTCGCGGCGGTCCAGGTACTCTGCCAAGGCCCCCGGCAGCGGGACGACCTTGTGGAGCAGCTGAAAGAACGCGTTGCAGATGTCCACCTCGACCGAGTCCAGCCTGCACCGCACGATGTACCTGATCAACTTCATGAACGCGAAGGCGGACCGCCCCACCAGCTGATCCGGCACCCCAAGCTTCAGCTCCTTCTGGATCTCCGGGGGGAGCTTGTGGATGAAGGTCTTGCGGGGGTCGGGCTCCTCCTCCTCCTGCTCCTTGGCCTTCTTTTTAGCAGAGGCCTTCGGCGCAGGGTCTGGCAACTTGCAAAACAGCCTGCTCCGCATGCCCGGCGGGCGGCGCCCCGGCCGCATGAGCACCGGCACCCAGCCGACCCCGTCGGCCCCGATGCTGACCGCCCGTTTGGAGAAGCTGTAGAGAACATCGAACCGCTGTCCGGGCATCGGCGGACCGCGTCGAGATGCAAGGCCTCCAAGATCGTCACGCAGTCCACCCTCTCCCAGAAGAGCTTGTACTCCGTCAGGTTCTGATCCTCCGGGGGCTCCGCGAACTCCTCGTTGAGCTGGCTCGGACTGCACCGCTGGCTCTTCGGACTTTGGCTCGCACTGCACCGCTGGCTCTTCGGTCTTTGGCTCGGAGCCCGCGCTCGATGGTTCGGGGCCAGTCTGACAGGGGCATCAAAACCATCAAAGGTGTCAAACGACTTCCCGAAGCAGCGCCTCGGTCGGAGGAAATCCACTCCCGCCGAACTTGGTGGTTTCAAGTCCTTGGTGGCTTCGGCGTTGCGTAGGGTATTGCTGCGTTGTTTGAGCCCGCAGGATTGCGCGGGCCAAATGATTGCGCGATGCCAACATTGAGAAAAAAACATTTCCAGGCCGTCATTCGCACGATGCCGAGCCTGATAATTTCACACCCTAAAACTCTTAGCGCATACTTTTGAAGGGTTCACAGCCACGGGACACTTCAACTTAAGTTTCAGCAAGGCGCAGCTCACTCGTACCAAAGAAACCCCATGGCATCCAAGATGCATCGTCACGATGCATCTTGGATGCCATGGGGTTTCTTTGGTACGAGTGAGCTGCGCCTTGCTGAAACTTAAGTTGAAGTGTCCCGTGGCTGTGAACCCTTCAAAAGTATGCGCTAAGAGTTTTAGGGTGTGAAATTATCAGGCTCTGCACAGGTGTGGTTTTTTTGAGGCCCGGCAGCCTTACAGCATGAGCCCCTTCTTGCATCAGGTTGAAGACTTTAGGCTTAGGGTCTGGGGGATGCATCGAACATGGTTTGGGGGCCCGCAGCGCAGCTCGCGTGCTTGGAAAGACAGGGAAAGAAATGGACAGCTCAGCAAGTGTCGGAGCCGCTTGGGACGGCTAGGAGGAGCCAAATTTAGATGCAGCTGAAACCCTGAACGGGTAATTCCCGCGTGTATCGGGGAAACCATGTTTACCCACCCACACCCTTGCTCCCCCGAAGAAACTGTATACAGCTAGGATGGGCTCAAAAGCCTTGTGCCAACCCAAACCCAGGAGCCTAAGCCTCTGGGCTCGTCCTCTCGATGTAGGAGGCAACAAAAACTTGACCCTTTCCAGGCCCAAACAAGGGCCTGCAATGCGCTGCTTATGCAAGAATTATATGCTTCCGGTTTCCATATGGATGCTACGCCGTTTCGACGGCGCGGCTAGTTCCGTTTGTCCCGCTGTGTTCCTCTCACCTTTCCTTTGTATACGGGGTTCCAGTATTGGGTTCCGGATTTCGGGCTTTGGTTTCGGGGTTACAGATTTAGGGCGTACCAATTAGCATTTCTAGCTTAGAGGTCAAGGTGTTTAAAAAGCACATCGGGTCATGAGTCAGCAACCTATAAGCCCGAAATGTCATTTTGTAAATCGCAGGAAGCTGGCAGCCTGTTTATGGCAAAAAACACGAGTTTGCTTTGCATGCTCCAGTTACTGTACCTGAAAAAAGGGCAGCGTGCTAACTAGTTGTTTACCGTTTGCGGTCGTCGTGTGTTCCTTTGGGCGTGCCGTAAAATGCGCTTTGCTACTGGGGCACTTTCAAAAGTTGATGTCACGCATGGAGCTAACCGCGCCAACATCTGCGAAGAGGCATTTGGGGTGTGGGGGGTCTGCCCATGTCTGCGTAGAAGGGTTTAGGATTTAGTGTGAGTAAGGGGGGCTGGGGTTTACTCATTAATTAATGCTTTCACGGTTTTATAGGCTTCACGGCTTCTTACAGGCTTGAGGGTAATTTAAAAAAACCAGAGAATTGAGTCAAGAGTGTCGACCAGGACCCCTGCCAGAGTGTACCCCCAACTCCAGCGCCAACCCAAAATCTAGCCACAAGGCCCGTCCAAGTCGGGGCGGTTTGTGGCGAGCCTCGGGCCGAAGGCTCATCACAACCCGGGCTCCCCAGACCGTCCTGGCAGGGCGGGCTGCCTGCCAGCCTTAATCTTACTACCAACTCAGGCAGCCCGCCCTGCCAGGACGGTCTGGGGAGCCCGGGTTGTGGTGAGCCTTCGGCCCGAAGGCTCGCCACAAACCGCCCCGACTTGGACGGGCCTTGTGGCTAGATTTTGGGTTGGCGCTGGAGTTGGGGGTACACTCTGGCAGGGGTCCTGGTCGACACTCTTGACTCAATTCTCTGGTTTTTTTTTAATTACCCTCAAGCCTGTAAGAAGCCGTGAAGCCTATAAAACCGTGAAAGCATTAATTAATGAATAAACCCCAGCCCCCCTTACTCACACTAAATCCTAAACCCTTCTACGCAGACATGGGCAGACCCCCCACACCCCAAATGCCTCTTCGCAGATGTTGGCGCGGTTAGCTCCATGCATGACATCAACTTTTGAAAGTGCCCCAGTAGCAAAGCGCATTTTACGGCACGCCCAAAGGAACACACGACGACCGCAAACGGTAAAAAAATAGTTAGCACGCTGCCCTTTTTCAGGTACAGTACCTGGAGCATGCAAAGCAAACTCGTGTTTTTTGCCGCAAACAAGCTGCCGGCTTCCTGCGATTTACAGATTAGCACTTCCGGGCTTAGGTTGCTACTTGCTGTTTAGAAATCCTGTACTCTAAGCCAGAAATACGAAAAAGCCAAGCCTTACACCTTAAACCCCGAAACCAAACTCGAATTTTTGAACCCCAACCTCGAACCCCGTACAAAACCTTTACGCCTCCGCAGAGGAGAGGTGAGTAGGAACACAGCAGGACAAATAAACGGAACTAGCCGTCGAAACGACGTAGCATCCATATGGAAACCGGAAGCATTGCAGGCCTTTGTTTGGGCATGGAAAGGGTCAAGTTTTTGTTGCCTCCTACATCGCGAGGACGAGCCCAGAGGTTGAGGCTCTTGGGTTTGGGTTGTTGCGGAGCACATCCTAGCTGTACTGTTTCTTCATGTTTCTTCGGAGGAGCGACGGTGTGGGTGGGCTAAACAGGATTGCTCCGATACACGCGGAAATTACGCGTTCAGGGTTTAGGGTTTAGGGCAGTTGCATTTAAATTTGGCTCCTCCTAGCCACCCCAGACAACTCCGACACTTGCAGAGCTGTCCTTTCTGTTTTTCCCGGTCTTTCCAAGCGCGCGAGCTGCGCCTGCCGGCCGCCAGGCCATGCTCGATGTCCACGTGCATCCCCAAACCCTAAACCTAAAGTCCTCTATGGGCTCAGCAATAAAACCGCACTGGTTTACAACCGTAAATATAAACCCTATAACACAAAGCGCATACTGTTGTGAAGGGTTCACAACCGTGGGACGTCAACTTCGTGGTTCAGCAAGGGGCAGCTCACTCGTACCGAAAATTTTGTCATAGCGTCCAAGATGCATCCTGCGAATGACGGTCTGGAAAAGCATGATTTTCAACTTCGGCATCGCGCAATGATTTGGCCCGTGGGATCCCGCTAGCTCACGACAGAGTAATACTCAACGCAACGCCGAAGCCACCGAGGACTTGAAACCACCAAGTTCGGCGGGAGTGGATTAGGAGCTTCGGCATCGGGAGGCGCTGGAGCAGAGTCCTGACAGGATTTGATCTATTTGATGCCTTTGATGCGTTTGACCCCGGCCTGGGCACCGGCGTCAAACGACTTCCCGAAGCAGCGCCTCGGTCGGAGGAGCATAGGCGCCGGGAGGTGCTTGAGCAGAGTCCTGACAGGATTTGATCTATTTGATGCCTTTGATGCGTTTGACCCCCGGCCTGGGCATCGGAAGGAGATTCGGCCACCGGCACCCGGTCGCTCGAGGAGACGCTCGGGGACGAAGTAGCAGCCTGACATGAAACACGGGGTCGAAACAGGAACTGCAAAGATCGCAACACCGCGCCTCGGCAATGCGCGACACGAGAGCTTCCTGTTCCAAGAAACGCTGCTCCTCCCACGTCAGCGGCCGCTGTCGGATCGAAGGGAGCATGCCCACAAGGAAATTCCGCACCGCCCACACAGCTTGCAACTGCTTAAAGGCCGAGTTGGATTTCGCTGAGTTGCCGTTCTTGTCGGGATGTATCAAGCGCGACATCTTGTGATATGCAGCCTTTATGACGTTCTCCCCGGTCATACCCGAATCAAAGTCAGGGGCTTCAATCACGAGTCTGAACCCAGACGGCTCAGGTATGGTCCCTTCCACAGGGCCACATCCATAGCAAAGTCGCGCAGCCGCGCCTGCTCCTCCTCGAGACTCCCCATCGCCCCTAGAGAGTCCCGGCTTCCAGAACACAAAATGTGCTGCTGTGCAATGCTCAAAACTCGACGGCCCACTCACACTCAGACAGCGCTGCGGCTTCAGATGCAACCGCCCAAGGTCCAGACCACGCGATGAGGAAGACGCCCCTGCAGCCGGTGATACCTGAGAGCGGCGACGAGGGGCCCGGGGTTCCCGGGACGAGGTGGGCTGCAGGGCACTCTAGTTACGGGCGGGGCGGGGAGCAGAAACAGGCACTCCTGCACGCGCACTCAGCCAGAAAGCCCAAACCCGCAGAAATCCGAACACACAACCCCCTGCGAGCACTCTGAGGAGCGGGGCGCCAGCGATGTGGTTCAGGCCTGGGCAGAGCGAGACGGGGCCGGGGTTTCCGGACGGGCGACAACGCAGGGCACTATAGTCTTACAGGCGGGACGGGGGCAGCAACGGGCACTCCTGCACGCACACTGTCAGCACCAATCCCAGGAAACCGAACAAACCCTTAAGAACCCTCCGAGGGTCGGCACCGAGCAAGAAGAGGTCCGGACCTGGGCGGAGCGGGATTGAGGGAGACTTGAGGCTTAAAGGGCGAAGGTGCGCGAGGCCAGAACAGCATTCACGCACTCAGTTTTTTGCAACGCAACCTGTACACTCGCTGCGGACGGTCTTTGCACAAAAACCCCAGCGCCGCGACCTGTGCTCTCTCGCAGCGCAGGGGCTGCAATCTTGGATCAGCCCCGAACCGGCTGTCCCGGGGCCGTAGGAACGCTGACGTACCTGCGTCTGCTGGTGTGGTTGCCGGTGTAGCTGCGGTCGGCGAGCGCCATCATCTCTTCTAGCTTTAGGCCCCCCGCAGTCGAGAAGACATACAACAGCATGCCCTCCTCGATCCGGTAGATCAGCCGGGGCTCGTCCGCATCGACGAAGAAGTTGCGCTTGGCTCCTCTGACCGTCGTGACTCCGATCTTGGCCTTTCGCCGGGATCCTTGGGACTGAGGGAGTGCGTCAGATCGAGCATCTTAAGGTAGTCCTCCGGGGCCACGTAGCATGTCTTGATGTTCTCTTCGCGCAGTCCTTGTTTTATATTTCACAACAGCCGTCGGCACACCACGATGGAAATGGACCAGATATTCGGTAAGCAAAGCTTTCAAATATCATAAAGAAAATCCGAGGATATATATTCCAGAATCAATAAAATATAAAGTATGAATTTATGAAATATTCATCCGGTCTCGCGAACGAACTACAGAGACTGCACTCGGACCCCTCCTTCTTTTTGGCTGTGGTGGAAAGCACTCGAGTAAGTAAGATACCAAAGTATCGGACTTATCAAGATGCATCCCCCCTTCGTTTTAAACAGCGGTGTAGCCACACAAGTACAGAAACGTAAACACCCAACTATATCCTGGAAGGGAGGATAGCATCCTGATGCATCACTGGAAAAGCATGTCCAGTGAGACACAAGCTCCCACCAAGAGAACTCGTGAGCACCAGAACCTGGGCTCGAAGAGCCTTCGTAGTGACTAGTTGACTCACCACCTCAATGGTTGTAAGAGACTGCTGCAGCAGTACAACCGCCTCACACACGTGAAGCCTGGAGAAAATAATGGCGCACACACAGGTATGCCTGGCAGGCGCGAAAGAGAAAGAGTACCACGCATGCAACAAAGACCACATGAGCACACACTGCTCATGGGTGGGAGGGTGGGGTCTTTGCGAAAACATGTGCTTCGACATGTTGCTCATTGGGCCGACAGCTGTTGTGAAAGGAGTGTCAACCGCAAACAAATGGAGTTGCATAAAAACCGCGTTGTTGTTTCATAAAAACAAGCTTGAGCAAGCACAAGGATCGTTTTATATTTCACAACAGCCGTCGGCACACCACGATGGAAATGGACCAGATATTCGGTAAGCAAAGCTTTCAAATATCATAAAGAAAATCCGATGATATATATTCCAGAATCAATAAAATATAAAGTATGAATTTATGAAATATTCATCCGGTCTCGCGAACGAACTACAGAGACTGCACTCGGACCCCTCCTTCTTTTTGGCTGTGGTGGAAAGCACTCGAGTAAGTAAGATACCAAAGTATCGGACTTATCAAGATGCATCCCCCCTTAAGAACTGCCACAGCCAAAGAAGGAGGAGCGCTGGGACAAGAGCCCCAATTGAAATCGTGCTACGACTGAATGGCTGCCTTCACGGAGGACTCCACAGGAGCCGAGTGCCCTTCGGGAACACTCTCACATCATGGTCAGACTGCCACATGCGCTTGACTGGGTAGCGATAGCGAAAGGTTTCAGCGAACTCGGGCAACAGAGGGTCCGTGCCGTTCCAGCGGGACAGGTAATCTGCCTCCTCGTTGCGGAAGCCCGAAATGTGGTGCACGTCCAGGGTAATCCCGTGTCTAAAAGCGACAAAAGCCAGTTGCTGAGCGAAAAAGCAGAGCGGGGATGACGTAGTCATCAAACGATTTGCCGATGCCTGTGCAGAGGCATTGTCGCAGAAAGTACGCAGCTGAAGCCTGCATCGTCCGCCCGGGCAAGTCTCTGCGAAAAGAAGTGCCAGAGCAATTTGAGCCAGGAGCTCCCAGCATCCAATATTCTTCTGAGTGTTGTTGTCGAGAGGGATGTTCAAGTCATCGAAATCCGACTTCTCAAATCGCTCGCTGAACCACAAGACGGGTGAGCCCTCAACACGCAGAAAACCACGTATCCCGATAGAGGAACCCTGAGCACAAGCATCCGCAGCCAAGGTACAGGCAATGCTCCGTGGAGGAAGGTGCAGGCACTGTTCCAATGGGCTGCGCATGCACCATGATTCCCAAAATTCCATGAACTTGCGGCTGCATTCCGAAAGCTTGCGCTTGGGATGTTTGGGATCAGAGATACGCATATATATCCGACGTGAAGTCAGAGGAACTTTGTTCAAGTCCTGCTTGGAGTGCAGCTCAATGTGCCTGGCAGACAAAAGACGAGCACCTCGTGGAATAGCTGTGCCTGGAGGTTGGCTGGTGAACCGCAGGTTATCATCCAAGTACTCATGCAGCAAGTGCCACTCGCCAGAATCCACATGATGGTAACACAAGAATGCCATCCAGGGGCGGAGTTCAGGAGAAATCTGGCTCACCCACTGAAGCAAACCCACCGTTTTTTCAAGATCGCAGCGATCCACGTTGCCTGGCCGCAGAACGACCCGCACTGAACGAAGAATCTTCTCAATCTTGTCGGTTGGCAGACTGAAAGTCCCTGATCTGAAATTGAATAGCCATCCTATCCACTTCACTCTGTACCCGCACTGCAGTTTGTGCCACGATAGCGGCACATTGTAAGCTTGGCAAAAGCTGAGGATGAGGCAGCCTGAAATCTCGATTGCTTTGTCGCCTTGCCACAGCAATAGGTCGTCGACAAAGATGCCTAAAGCGTGACACAACCAGATCAAGAGATGAAAGGTTCGGATCATGAAAGCAGACAATCGTGCCCACCACAGAGCACTGAAACCTGTGCCGAATGGGCAAACTCGGTACCACAGGTGTCGACCGTCCTCAAGCTTGATCCCCGCCAATCCACGGTCCTTCTCCCGAATGCGGATCGTTTTGTGAGCCGCGCGAATGTCCAAGCTGAAAGCTGACAAGTCCTCGTTGTTCATGCGAAGTGGGAATGCAGAGCGTACGTCTTTAAGCGAGGGCAGACAGTATCGCTCATTCAAGAAGCAAGAGGAGTTGACTCCAGAAACCGTCCCATCCATGATTAAGCGCGCTTGCGATTGTCCGCCAAAACCACGTTGAGCTTGGCAACTGCGATGTTCTCCCAGCGCTGCTGAGCTGAAGCAAGATCAAGCTCTTCAAGAAGAAAACCCTCTGAAATCTCCTTATCAATCAATTCCGAAAGGATTTTGGGATTTTCGCTGGCCCCCTTCCAGTTGCGATCACAGATCACAAGCTCCGCCGGGGCTTCGGAAGAGTCATCCTTGTGCTTCGGAACGAAAACGTGACTGGGTGGGATATCCGAGAAGAAACCTGTGGGAACACCCGCAATCAATGCTGGAAAGAGTTCATCATCTCTGTCTTGCAAGGCTCGAGAGAGGCTTTGTAAGGCCAGCAGCGAGTAAGGTTGATGTTCAGCCACGCTCCAATCGATTGATTGCACACCCTGTTGCATGAACCATTGCTGCCAGATCTCCCTGAACTGCGGAACCTCAGTCTCTGTGAACAGCGGGAGTTCGCTTTCGGACTCCACATGGGCGCGCAATCGCAATGGGGCCCTGATGTGGAAAAGGTACTCCACAAGCTGCTTACGCACTCCCCCTAGGAGGTCCTTGCAGCCGCTTGGAGGAAAACTCCAATCCGGCATTGAGTAGATCCCACCTCCGTCCTGTGTGCTTCGGGGAAGTTCCTCCTTGGTTTTGTGAGTTCGAAGAAACCCAACCTGTTGAAGAGAAATGGTGTACGGCTTGCTCGAAGTCTCGAACAAAGGAAGGCCTGTGCGAGCTGTGCCGGAAACTCCGAAGTGGCTCTTGAAGCGTAAACGCCGTCTTTGTCAACAATCCCTGCCACCCGTGCATGCGACTGAGGATCGTGTTGACAACTACATGCAATCTGCTGGAGATCCCGAAAACTGCATGCGAAACACCACTGCTTCAGTACATTCATACCATAGCCACAAGCAGCCACACAGTTCAGGTCCGCGTTGATGTGTTGCAGAAATTCTCGGACTTCCTGCTCCAACCATGCCATGCTGTTCAAAGGGTTTTCCAGACTAACATGCCCTCCAGCGCAGTATGTTGCCAGCAGCAAATTGATTGTACGAACCAGCACTTTTTTACTTTGCTCCAGACGTTGCCGCTCTGACGGACTCAAATCAGGAACGCCAGACATGTGTTCTGGAGTGCGAAGCGCCCTGGGGCCACCATCTGCCCGGAGCTTGAGCCTGGAGTACTCCGTGCAAGGTGGAGAGGCGTGTGCCAGATTCACCTGTCCGCTGTAGCATAGCCGCATGAGGCTGTCATAAGTGGAGTCATTCAACAAGTTGTGATCTTCATGCAAAAGAATGTCGATCGAAAGCACTGAAACACCTTTCGCCAGGAGGGCAGCAGACAGAGGCCGATTTGGCCCAGAACAGATCTCCAGAAAAAGATTTCCTCGAATTGCATCAAGGTCTGGAGGCATGATTGCCACTGGTAGCCCCAGCTGTGCCTGGTCAATTTTGGCAGCCCGAGACTCACACTCCGCCTCGTCGATCACCATGGCGTCGCCTGGTAGCGGAAACATAAGATCACGTAAAGAGCGAAGATCCGGGTCCGGCATTGAACCCCAAGTGCAAGAAGTATAGGCCGTCACGACCCATCTGTCACCAACCCATGGCTCCGAACAATGAGCAATGCGGCCATCCCAAGAAAAACCACACCTCCTGGTCTGAACTATGCAACCCAACAGCGAGGCATCAGCTGATGTGTCCGGCGGAGGCACTCGTGGAAGGTGAGGAAGTTCGTCTGGCGGCAAAGCCACCCACAAACCGCCTTTCTCAAAAGCCCCAACACTGAATGAATAATTCAAAGATCCCGGAAGGTTCTTATCCACGTGGATGTGAGCGAACTCATTGTGACTGACACAGAAGCTGGACCATGTGCCGTCTGGAAAAATCTGCCGAAGGAAAATGTTCAGGTACTCAACGAATTCTGCGTTTTCTGCTGTGCCTTTGCAAAGCCCCGCATTGGAGCCCGCTCTCGCCCCAAAATTGAAATATTGTGCTCGAGATCGCGCACCTGCAAGAACTGTATCTCGGTAGAGAGGAGCATCACCCAAACAGTGAGTCTGCAGGATAGCCAAGCAAGCTTCCCAAGAAAAATCCGCTGAAGTCGGCGACGGAAGTTCGCTGGATCGACCAGTCCGCACATCGGAGTGTTCCGCCACCGACTGTGACCTTCAGATTTTGCGGTGTTGGAAAGCAGGATGCTTCCCTAGGCATGGCTTTCCATCTGGGCCGGGAACCGGGCAGAGATGCTCGAATTTACAGTTTTCAAACTTGCATCCGTCTGGAGAACTGTAACCACGGCACAATTGTTTGCGTTGACCCTTGGAGTCCGTGTAAGAAAGCATCCAGCGTTGACTGTTGGTGCCATTGCCCTTGTTGCCCTTGCCGTTCTTACCACCAGGGGAGTCTTTCCCCTTGCCATTGCCTTTGAAAGGCTGCCTGTTGATCTTCAAGATTTGGCTGCGAGGCTGCAACATGGCAGCCAAGTCACCGCGAACTTGCACTACCTCCGTCAGTGCATCATTCAGGCTCCACTTGTGGACACTGACCAAATCCGCAATCAAGCCCCAAATGTGCTTGTCTGCCGCCTGAAGCTCCTCCATATTCGGGCTTCGGAGCCCTGAAGATGCCTCATGCCGCTGGCAGGCCAAGCGGATGAACTTGCGCTCGTAAAGCCGCAGACTCTGAAGGTGAGCCCCCTTAACGAAGGCGAGTGATATGCACAAAAGACCCAAGATGCCCTGCAGGAAGGTCATGCCGACTTGGCCTTGAGGTAGCTCTCTTGAAGGTATCTCGTCGTACACCAGCTCTTCCAACCTCGGGATTTTTGCCGGCCTGCGCAGAGCGAAAGACTCCTCTTGGGATTTGCTCATCCGATGTTTCCAAGCCACCCACCGCATCTCACCTGGTTTAACAAGCTTTGCGGCCAACGCTAAGAGCCGGTGACCTGGGGTGTTATCCGCATCCAAGACCTCTCCTGGGTACGAAGCCTCGAACTCAAGGCGGAGTTCCACCACTTCCTCACCTGTCAATTTTGCCGGGAAAGAGTCTACCCATGAAGCTGCATTGGATGTCATGCTTGCGTGGGCCGCACTCCCCGCATTCGAACCAGTTGCAGTCACAGACTGACACTTCTGAAACAGCAGGCGGAAGGATGACATAAGACGTAGTTTCTCGGTGGATTCCGCAGGCAAGGCGGCCCCCTCCAGCAGTACCTCGATTGAGGCATCCACTTCCGAGTGTGAGGCTGCTAGGCAACCAAACAGCGGCACGTCATAACCATCCAGCACGAAGTGGAACTCCTGCGGAACTCTGCATGCAACGGCAAGCTCCAAAAGCGCCGCATCCACGTTAGCCATGCAAGCCTGAAGCGAGGTGCAGACAGACAGGGTGAAATTGCAATCGATGAACGATCGGCAGCAGTAGCCCTTGCCCGCTGCACACACGTGCGATTGGCCCCACGGCTGCCAGGTTTCCGAAGGACTTTTATGCCCGGTAGTATCATATCCCACTGGCTGCAATCGCCATGCACTTGCCTTGAAGGTAAGCCAACTAGGGGGGGGTCGCCCTCCGCATTTCACGACCGTCTTGGATGGCGGACTGGCACACACGTGCGATCAGATCTGCCAGCACTGGCGCCTACACCTGCTGCGCGAACCATGCACAGCCCTTTCCACAGCCTGGATTTCAGACCCACATATTGCAGTCGACTGAAACCCAGCAGCAAATCGGCAAGCCCATATCGAACCGAAACGCCGCATTGCCGCGGCGAGCACGCACGTGCGGATCGACTCCCGGCCAATCTTGACACGAATGGAAAGCAGTTTCCCCGCCTGCTCGTCAAGACCAGCTTGATCCCGCCGCCGAGCTGAGGGCCCGTTAAAGCTGCCACGAAACATGTTCAGTGCCAAACTTGCATGCTGCATTTCTCAAGCGCTTCAGTGTTACAAGTATGCAATGGCGATTTGATTTTCCGCGTGCTGCCCAAACAGCCTCTAAAGCTCCAAAACTCGCCTGCATGCGACGTGCATGCAAAGGCGTGCCCCTACCGGCACGGTGGTCAAAACTGCAAAAGACTTGGCCAAGGCTCCACACCGTGGCCTAAGGTGGGCAGTGTGCCCTTCAGCATAAGCTGCCGTTCCCGATGCACCTTCCTGAGGCGCTGCTACATGGACTGTACCTGATGCCCCCTGCAAGAACAAGAATTCATCGCACTCCTCAGGCTGGAAAGTGGCTGAGATGGCCACACTTGAACGCCGGACCGAACCTGAAGTGCCGGCTTCCTGCTCCGACTCACTGGATGAAGATAAAGCGGCCTCCAACGTAGGAGCCTGCATATCACTGCTGCCTGCTGACTGGGACTCTTCCCTATCGACCTGCACCGCCTCATGAGAGACCTCAGGTGGAAACACATCCAAAAGCGGAAATCTGGGGTGCACAGGCGATGGTTCGCTAGGGACATTCACATGAACAAAAGGTCGTTGGGGGGTAGGATGTTGTCCCCCACGCCCCAGAGGCGTACTCGGCATCCACCCCGAGCGAAGCGATTGCACAAGGGCTCGTTGAGCTTCTAGTGCCGGCCAGATATCGTCCCGTGAATAAAGTCGGGCACTCCGGCCCGACGGTTGGTGGTGTCCTTGCGCTTCACGGCGCGAGGTTCTGAAGCCTCTCTGTGCCATCACAGCAAGTAAACATGCTTTCATGCTGTGCACAGTGAAGTCACGCGCTTCCTCAGCACTCAAACCGAGAGAGATCAAGGTGCATCGGAGCGCCGACAGAACTTCCCCGTATGGCATGGGAGCAAACTCAGAATCGGTGCTTCTGAAGAACAGACAGTCTGGCGTCACATCTCCAAATCGATTGACCACTGCATCCCATTCCTCACCCAAAAGAGAGAGGTACTTGGCCACCCAAGTGCGTGTGAACTCGCGCTTGAAACCATAAATGCCCTGTGTTATCAGACCGAAAGGGACCCCTCTACGACTAACTTTAGTGCGGAAGTTCACTCCACGCAAGCACCAGGAGCCGGACTGAAGCGAAGTCCATTTGGTGTGTTGAGCATCGCTGAGACGAAGACTGCTCCAACAGCAGACCAATACCGCGCCTATGAATAAGCGATGCTGCACAGAGCCCTCAGCCAAAAGCAAGCTCCTTTCAAGAAGTCCCAGGACAAACATGGGAAGCGGAAGCGCTTCCTTGCGGTCTGCCTCGATTTTTCCGGAGATGTTCAACATGATGCCTGAATACAAGTCCCGAAGGCGGAGAGCGAGTGCCTTGCGTGCCCAGCGGATTGCCTTAAGACTGTTGCCTACTTGGCTGCCCCCTTTATGCATGACCAGCAAAGCGTCAGCAACATCCACTTGCCGGACCTTATCCGACACCGGCACCCCCAAGCACTCCAAAGCTTCAATGAAATGCCTGACAGCACTGAGGTAACGCACAAGAGTCGTGTCCGCCACACTGCTAAGGATGCGGTGCTCAAGCACGTCGCCGTGAAAGGAACCTGACAAGTCGGCCAGGCAATCTGAGATCGGAAGCAGCCGGGGCTTGAGCATTTCCCAGATGATCTTGCCCTGCTCAAACTGCTTGGCATGACCGTCATTGATCGAGCTGAAACCCAGAGCGGGTGCATTATGCGACTGAGCCGGAAATCGGACACCCAAACCAAAATCTACACTAGCCTTAGCACAACCCCTGGGGGCCGGGGTCCGCTCCCTGTGCAAGACAGCGGAAGGTGCACTGATCGCCAATGTATTGGACGTCTCCAGGGGCCGAGGCCTGTGATAATCAGCTGCCCTGAGGGGAACAGGGTTTGGTAAAGGACTACAATCCCAGCCTACACGACTAAACCTCGGGCGTGGAACCGGATTATGCAGCGGTGCCGCTGCAACCCTGGGCACGAAGGTGGTCGTGGCACCCCTTGCAAAGGAAGCACTGGGCCAGGCAGACTTCCATGCACATTCTGCACTGAATGCGAATGCCTGCTGTTCTTATACCGCTTCACAATCACTGGCGCATGATTCTCGACTAACTCAAATGAGCCTACCGACGACTTTGCAGGAGAGTCCACACTTTCAAGCAACCCTTGCAAATGACGCTCGAATGCTGAATCCGTGTGCTGGTGGCCCGCCGAGGCGGGAGCTGGTTCCAGCATGTCTGTAGAACCACTAACCCCCAATGTGCAGGCACCACTAAGTTCCGGCACTCTCGCAGTTAAGGGAGTACCTGCATCAGCGCCAGGCAGCGAGGAAACAAATTCTGCATCCACTGAATCACACTTGGGCTCTCGGGAAGGCTTAGGGCTCGAGGCGGCGATGGGCAAGGCCATCCGTGCAAAAAGGCGCCTTTAAGCAACTCTCGTCTAGCACCTGTATGCATGTACCAAGAGGCCACAAGCAATGCGCGGCGATCGGAAACTTGCAAGAAGCCCCACACACGCGGAATGACTCTCGGATAAGCTGCCACGAGATCCTCCAGGCTGGGCTCAAACTCAGACTCAGCACTGGAAACACTGGGTGCCACAAGAGCTCCCTCTAAGTTGGTCGGGTGCAGGCGGCTCTCCAGGACCGTCACACGCAACTGAAGTGAAGCTAGCTGATCTTGAAGTGACTCTTCTAACAGGCGAAGGTCTTCCCTGTGCACAAAGGAGCCACCGGCACTGGTCTCGGACTCAGAGTCCGGCTGCATGCGATGACCCCTCAGGGGGTCCACGGCCCATGCACCCTCACGTGAAGGTGTTGTGTACGCTAGAGATAAAACTGCCAATTTGCAAGACAAAGCGTGCTGAAAAACCACGTGAATCGAGTGACTCACCATGTACATGAAACACAACCCGCGTTGGTAAAGTCTTTGCGAAAACATGTGCTTCGACATGTTGCTCATTGGGCCGACAGCTGTTGTGAAAGGAGTGTCAACCGCAAACAAATGGAGTTGCATAAAAACCGCGTTGTTGTTTCATAAAAACAAGCTTGAGCAAGCACAAGGATCGCTTTCCAGCGATGCGGCGCGCCGCCGTCCCGACGGCCCCCCCAGTAGGCCAATGCCTCGTCCGACGGCTGCGCCGTGACTGTAAAGCCCTCATCCGTGGCCTGGGGCCTGACTGGAACGCCCTCATCCGTCGCCTGGGCCATGACTGGAGCGCGACTCTGCCCAATCTACACAGCCTTGAAGCGCACGACGCTGCGGGAGCATGAGTCTGGCAACACTCCGACCTACCGCAGCAACGGACCAAACTGCACTCTGAGGCCCCAGCGACACAAGCCCGCCCACCCGAAGCCCCTGCCCCCGCCCCTACGAGCTTGAAACGAAAAACGAGCGCAGCAAAAGACTCATGACATGTGTGTGTGCGCAATCACTCGGTTCCATGTTTCCGCCAAGCACTGCACCTGTGGCGAAGTGAACTGCTCGACCCTATGAGAGCAAGCTACCGGGGGCCAGCCGGAAGCCGCCGCTCCCACCACATGTCCCAGATCAAGTCCGCGTCCGGGAAGCGGATGCCTTGGCTCTGCAGCTCGCGGTAGATAACGTCGGCGCCGTCCAGATGGCCCTCCGCGTGCACTCGACGCATAGTCCGGCGCTCCCACTCATCCTCCCGCCAGGCCAGCTCGTCCCGATGGGTCAGCGGCCACGCCGACGAACTACCTTGGAGGAGCGTGCGCGGCAATCGAAGCTCAACGCAGGGCCGCCGGGAAGGGGCCTACGGGTTAGGGAGGCACAGCGCTCACAGGGACGCGGGGGATCAAAGCCTACTGCGTGGGCCGAAGGGGTTCGGGTGCCCTGAACCAAACCAAAAAAGCAACCCCGGCAAAGGCACTCTAGCAAATTGTTACTGCAAAAGTCTGACAATTTTCGCTCGGACAAAAGCGCCTGCAAAGTCGTGCGTTCAGCACTGTACAACGGAGCTCAAGCGTAAAGCAAAAGTACTTACAAAAGTACCGGCCAAAACATACTGATACATACGGATGCGCACCCCGCCTAAAGCATGCCACGTACTTGGCAATGCTTTCCAGAAAACTTTGTGACTTCCAAAGCCACCCGTACTCAAAGTATTGGGCTCGGTATCGTAGTGCAGAAACTCGAGTGTGTAACAGCGCTCCGGTGAAAAGAAAACTACGTACTCAAGTGTCGCATGCTCCACATGCTAAGTACAGTCAGCCATCTATGTACCACAATGTACAAGGCTAATTTTAACGACAAAATGCCGGTCACGCCCCTGTGCAAAGTAATGCTTGTGAAGCACGCAATGGGCTCACATTCATACCCCTGTGCACCGCAAAGCTTGATGCACGCAATGGGCTCACATTCACTTCGTGTTCGACTTCGAAACAAACTCTTCAGGATGATACACCTTGCGGGGATTGCAAAACGAGCATGGCTTCAAATTCTTGGCGATTGCATCTTCCTCGGAAATCTCGCTCACCTCCAAGGTCCAAGGAACCATTCAACTTGCCACACCCAATCATGTGATACTTCTTCCCATACTCCCCCGCAATCCATACTGGGTTCACTGGCTCTTTGACCTTGCGGTTGCGCCTCTGTTTGATCATCACTTCCTCACCGGTGACTGAGCTGGAAGCTGAATCTTTCGAACTCGTTCGGCTTGAAATGTCAATGGCGCGTTCGCCGCTGCACAAAGATTTATCAAAGCCCTTCACAATCACAGTCGACTGAGGACGCATGCACAAGATCGTCCCGATCACCGCCAACGTGAAGAGGTAGAGCATCATGAGCGTCATCATCGGGAACTCTTCAAACAACAGGGCATACAGCATCGCGAACATCTCAAACCCGCCGCCAAAGCCCAAGGCGCTTGCACCCGAAATCAAACTGGCCGAAACCATTGCACGCAAAGCACTCTTTGAGATCATGATCGGCACACGAATGTTGCGAATCACTTTCATGCTCTGCTTGAAACTCTGTTTCTCTCTCTCCTCTCGAAGCTCTTGGGCACCAACGAAGCACTCACACATCTCATCCCACACACGCAAAATGCACATCAACATGAGTGTTCTTGCCCGGCTCAGTCCCTTCGTTCCAAGGTCGCTCGGATTGAATGTAGTACTGATCTTCAGCAGGGCAACCTCGCCGGATTTAATCAATTGTTGGCACCATAAGATTCGGCAAGAAAGATGCCGAACTTTTCCCACTCCGGAACGTTCCAGCATCGCCTTAGCTGCGCTGGCATCGATGTGGTGAAAGATCTTCACCCTGCCGAAGTCCATGAACTCAAGGAGCTCACGGATCAGAAGTGCATCACATATGCTGCTTGCGGACGAAAGAAGTTCCGCCTCCCCTGACGAAAGTGCCACCACTCGCTGCGTTCTCGATGAGCTGAACAACATGTTGCCAGCGACACAAATGACGCTTGCGCAAACGCTCTTTCTAGATCCTTTACAAGCGGCCCAGTTCGAATCGCTGAAGCTCTCGAGGATAATCGACTGATCTCCTGCATCGTTCCTTGGACCCATCAACCCTTCACCGGGATCAGTCTTCACAATCATCAAACCGTTGTACCTCCCACCGATGAGGTACTTTGCCAAGTGCCTTAGCGCTAGCATGGAATGAACTGTTGGCCGTGCCATCCTCGAAGCGAGAGCACGAATAGCGCACTGGCATTCCGGGAGATCAACTGACAGGTAAAGCAACAATCAATTCCGCTCCTGAACGTTGTTGCCTCGCCGCTCTTCAACTCAGGACTGTTATCGATCTCGTCCAACTGTGGCATGTAGGGGCACTTCTTGCACGAGGTATTCTCACTCACACACAAAAGGTCAAACAGCTTGTCGAAGTGCTTTGGGCTCGGGGTTAGCAAAAGCTGATCGTTGTTGATCAAAGTATGCTTTCTCTTGAGGAAATCGATGGAATCCCCAATGTTCTCAATGACGTGCGCTGTCACCTTGTACTTCTTCTTCAAAGTCGGGATGAACACCCCGTGCACAAACTTCCGCTTGCAAACCCTAACATGTCATCAACATGAAGCTGCATGGCAAACCTGCTCTCGGGATCTGTGGACTTGACAAGTGAAGGATGCGCTGCACACTCGACGACACCCAGGTTGCCCTTGAGGAACTTCATGAAATCATCATACCAATCACTCGACCCTGATCTTGGTCCCGGAAGAACGAACCCTAAGGAGAAGATCTCTTTGGATCCATCGGGGTGAACATAGGTCACATAGGTCGGTCGCACCTGCGGAACGGTGAGAAATGCGTCGCCGATGTCAACGGCGAACAGCGTCAACTTGGGAATGTTCGCATCATCGTCCCTAGCTTTGTGGTGCATGTAGAGAATGGGCAGTAGACGATTGCATAGGCTGGAGCTCGCAGGGCTGAACAAGTCGGTCCTCTCCGACAGCCAAGCAAACTCACGTGCTACATACCGACTCCGTCGATACCACACTGGCACCGCTGGATTCCCTACTTCCTTGTGTCTCCATGTCCTGACCATTTTGGTTGTCAGGTGCACCGCTTCTGTCAAATCCATTCCGGCTGGATCTTGCAACACCGTCATACTCTTCAACCGAGTGATCTCGATTTGATCCGCAATCGCATCTAAATCTCTCATCTCTTCTTCTGCGCACTCTGGTTCTTCATCTGACACCCGCGGACGGCACAATCTTGGATCCAAGTCGCCTGTGTCACCGACCTGGTCATCATGATAATCGTTGTAGTCATAGCTCTCCATATCATCGATAGCGTCCTGATCAAAAACTAGCTCGACACTCTCATCTTCATGCGCGTAGGTCACTTTGCGAATCTCAACAGTGCAAGGAAGCTCTTCACACGGCACAACCAAGTTCACCTCATCAAAGGATGTGCTGACCCCCGTCGGGGAGATCATGGAGATACTGCTCGTTTGAAGTCTAGGCTGCTTCGAAGGTTTGGGATTTTCACTGAGCTGCACTGTTTCTGGAACTGAAGGCATGGACACATCACCCTGATCACCATGTTGCATTGTCTGAGCTGCCTCGGTTGCATTCCCAGCAGGTGCTGGTACTTGAAGATCAGGCACACCTTCAGGAAAATCCACGGACATCGATCCGGATGGCGAACTCGACACAGGATCACTTGCAGCAACTTGCGAAGGGGACCTTGGCACCTCCTCAACCACATCTGGTTTCCCCGCCTCAACCGGTAACGGGATTGCCGGCTGGACTGCAGGGGTAAGCTTCTTGTTGTTCAAAACCAAGGTTCCTCCTAAGCTTGCTAAGCCATGTTGCCAAACATTCGTATCGATCTCTGCTGAAAGGTTTTGATCCCAGCAGTCACTGAACCGCCTCACCGAGCGAGACACGAACACACCGCCGGGAACGCCGAGAATGTTCACATCGTTGGCAACTGTTTTGCCTAGCCATACTGCTTTCTGCCACTTGGGAGCTGCCTTCGGGGATTGTTTCAGGTACGCCATCACTGCTTCACCGAACTTGCATACCTTGCTACGGTACAAACTTCCCGTCAATCGCTCATAGGGCGTAGAACCCTGAGTCACAGCGAATCTTGACTTGATCCATGCAGCATGGCACACAGCCCACTGCCACATTGGGGGGTTCGTGTCGAACAGAACCTTGCCTGACTCGGCGCCGAGGCCAACTTCTAGCTGCGACATCAAAGTACACGCAAGTTGCCTCACAGACTGGAGCGATTGCTCCACTGGACCGTTGGCCTGATGAGCATCAATCGGCACCGAATCTTTGTGCACCTCCACTCCTAAGTTTCTCAGGACTTTGCGAACGGCATCGACCACCGCAACCACACTGTTCTCATTGTCTGACCTCAGTCTGATCGCTGGATAGCCAAGCCAAAGAATGAATCGGCTCAGCTCGGTGGTCATGAATGACAAAGCAGCTTGACCTTCCTTCCTCGGGGTCGGAATTGCACAAACAGCTTTGGAGTGCCGATCGTGGGCGAAGAGAACCGTCAGCTTGTGTTGATCACTTTCATTGCGCGAGAGAAACCCAAAGTCGATTGAAACTGTAGTCGCTGACGAACCCTCATGATCAGCAACACTCGCATGCTGATCCTGACGCGCGCGATGCGCCACACATGTCGCGCATCATGCTCGATAAGGCTCATAAGTGAGCTCATGTTGTGCTCTCTCTGCTTCACTCAGCTCTTCTGCAGCACTCTGACCACGCGGCACTCTCTCGAACTCGGACTTCAAAGTGTGGCTTACGTGCTTGCTCTGCAATACCTCGTACTCAATGCAATGCTTTCCCAGTCGCTTGAAAATCTGGGCCTTGTTGCCGTTCTCCGCTAGACCCAATGCCTTGCAAGCATTTCGCATCACTTCCAAAGACGAACCGCTGTCGATGATCACACCATCGACCTCAATTGACTCTGGAGGCATCAACTCATCACGATGTTCAACGGGAGGCTGAGTGCTCCGGATTCTCAGAAGCCGGTGCACCTCCCAACTCCTCCTACGGTCCCGAAGTGGATGCCTCAGCACCCTGAACCGTTAAAAACCTAGAAGGCGAACAGCTCTTCAGGTTCAAGGCAAACAAGTTCCAAGCACCCTTGCAAGCAAAGCAAGCTCACAAAACACTCGGACAGTTCACACTTTTAGCACGCACAGCTCACTGCTGGTCTCACGTGTCTTGAGCCAAACGACAGTAGTCGTGGCACCTCTTAAAAGCACCCAAGCACTACAAAAGCTCCCAAGCACTACACAACTAGGGAAAACAGGTTGAGGCTACCGCAAAACCGTCAGGCAAGCTCAAACTACGTTCTACAGGCACTGACCACCTGAAACTAGCAAAACTGTACAAAACTATACAGGTACCGAGGAAAACTCTGTGTCGCACCTAAAACACTACTGGGCAGAGCACTGGTTTTCTCTGCCTTGCGCTCTGAGTCGCGGCCGCCGAAACGGCAAGTTCGGTCTGGGCTGTGCTCTGACAGCAAAAGGTTGGCAGCCTTGGCCTCCTTGTCTTAAGGAACTACAGGTTGGTCCTAACCTCTACGACCCCCCACCTCCCAGTCCTTGGAGCGGGAGGAGGACTACTTCAGTCTAGTCTCTAGACCCTCCTCCCAGCCATTGCCGGAGAGGTTGAAGCTTCTCAGCCCTCCTACCTGCAGGCCCTGTCCTCCCGGCCATTGCCGGTGAGGTTAGGAAGCCCTTGCCTGCAGGGAGCGGTCCTCCCGTTTGGTGGGCTCGTAGGCAGGCCCTGTCCTCCCGTTTTCCGGTGAGGTTTGGAAGCCCTTCGCAGCCAGGGAGTGGACCTCCCTATTGGCCCCCAAGGTCTGGTGGGCTCTTCGCCGCGCCGACGCCTTGGAGACCCAGAGGCACCAAGCACGTGATATGGCCAGCACCCTTTGCTGGTGAAGTGAGGCCACCAGCCACTGGCCAGCATCTGTGGAGTTTAGCTTGGTCAGCAACTCCCTTGCCATAAGGAATGGTAGGCTTCCACCATGCAGCGGAGCCAGTAGGTGGTTTCTGGATCCACCTTTACGATCCAGTTCCACCAAGACTCCAAACGACGGCGTGGGGGAAAGGCGATGGGCCTTGGTTCTTGGTGCCAGTCGGCCCCATCCAAAGCCACCAGCTCCTCAATGCAACTGTTGGGTGAGTACGCTCGTACTCCCCAGTTGTGCTTGCCACGATCACAAAGGCCATATGGAGGATTCTCGGAGCCGATGGCTCCGGATGCATGGGCTCGAGCTTCTCCATCTCCAAAACCTGGACACGGAGGCTCCCCCATTGGCGGATGGTCAAAACCCCCGCTCCTACCAGCCTTGTTCTCGCAGCGAAAATGCCTGGAAGCTGCCTCCCCAGCGAGAGCTCCAGGCCATGCCCAGCCCTCTTGTTTGGGTCGCCCTCATCGCTGGTGAGCTTCCACACAAGGCTACTTTCTCCCGGCATTGAAAGGTGGCCCGAGAACCCCCTATACCCAGGAGGGAATAGCCCGACGGATACTTTTCCAGGAAAAGCTTATTCCCAATTTGGGATAGCCAATGGTTGCACCCTCGGAGCTGGCGGTGGGGACGGAGTCTTGGTCTGTTTCGGTGAGCGGCTTCTCTGCGCCTCGAAGACGACGAGCTAGAGCTTTCCGCCTGCTGGGTCGGTGGTGGTCTTGAGGTATCTGGTGCCTCCCTGAGCACCACCCCCCGATTCGCCGGTGGGGAAGGAGTAACAGGTCTCCTGGTGTCAGGAGCCTTGCCTTTCGCCTTGCCTTTGCCCCCTTTTGGAGGAGGCCACAGGCCCAGTGCTTTCAGGCGGTCCCTGTCCTTCTTTGAAGGTCGGCGATAATATTCTTCATCGCCATGGTCCCTGCCCTTAGAACCTCCCATCTTGGGCCTATGGCCGCGCTAGGAGGACTTTGCAAAGAAAGTAGACACGGAAGGGGTACCTGCAGCAACAGGGGTTTCACGGTGCAGCACGCTTACGCAGGGTCTTTGATTTCTCATGTGCACAAAAATGCTCAAGCACGGCCGGGGTCGCCAGCCCCCCCACAGGTTGCACACCTCCATCTGATACCTTCATTGCACATGTTATGCGACGGGTGCCATTTCCACTCCGGGGCAGGGACACTGAGGGGGTGGTTTTTGGAGAAATTTGCACACTTCCTTTGAAAAGTAGGCTTGGAGTCATTCTGTTGGATCCAAAGGCCACACTCTTCACACTTGATCTGCATGTTGTTGCCAGACTTTGCTCCCGTCTGGGCAAACTTGTGCCCTTTTGTGTCCATTTCCCCAGCGACCAAAGCCATCAGAATTTGCTTCTTGGCTTCCGGGACTGGCTGGGCTGGCTGCCCAGCCTCATTCATGGCAACTCCAGTTTCTTGCACCTTCTCGCCACTAGTGCCTGCAGTGTCCGGTTTCGCTGCTGACTTGCTTTTCCCCCCGACAAGCGGTGGGGTTTTTTGGTCCTTTGGCACGCTTTTTCTTTCGGAAAGAAGATCGGCTGGAAGACAAACTGGTTGAGGCTGAAGGGGCCTCTGCACCAGCCTTCCTTGGGAAAACAACTTGAGGTCCCTGGTCCTTGTCATAGCCAAAACGAGCTTGCATGCGTCGACCTAAGAAGAGCGCAACCGACTCCGCAAGTTTGTCCGCACTCTGTATGGCTGAGTCACGGTGTTTGTTCACCATGGCTTCGGCTCTGGCTCCAACTAGGCGATCCACCTCATCATTGATGACCCGTCGCCAGTCCTGTCCAGGCCCTACTTGCTCCTGGAATTGCTCCTGGGTCAAGTGGGACGGGACCCAGTGTAGGTCCATCTCTTCTGTTGGGCCGTGCCAAAAATGTCCAGGTGCCGGCCCTTCGCTTGACAGCCTTTGCGACTTCTGGCAACCGCACCTTTACAGTCGCTTGTAACATCAGCCCCTGCCTGTAGCTGCTGCGCCGCAAAATGAATGGCTCTGGCCTCCCCACGGTAAACACTCTGCTCATTTTTGAGCAGTCCTGTAGCCGATCCTATGCGGAGGGGCTTGGCATCCTTCCAAGTGTAGAAAGTGACGCCCCACACCACCTCTCTCGTTCTTGGGTCGTTGGCCGCCCCACCAGTCGCATCCATTGCTGCGAACGCTCCGGGCGGGACGGACCCCCCTTCTGCCAACACTCCCTTGAGCTCAATGGCCTCATCTTGGGCGTGTCCACATTCAGGCCATGTGGGCTCCCTTGGAAGAAGCCCGAAATCCCACAGACATGCCGGGTAGGCCGGATCATCTCTGGAGGGCCACCATTCTGGCTCAGGCTCTCCATTCTCTTTCCACCACTGGCAGTCCCAGAGAACATGCCTCTTGGTGGCCGGGACTCCACACCTTTGGCAGGTTGCTAGTGGAGAAGCTCTGACCGCCCCTTGCCAAATGGATTTTAGGGCGACTCCTGCAAGACCTTCAGCCTTCTTGATAACTTTCCTCGGAATCGTCCAATCCGGCCCGGTCTGGAGGCCTTGGCCCCCATCAAGCTCTGCTAGGGCATTGTGCCTTTTGGCATCCACCCATCTTTTGGCCAGGAAAAGGATCTCGTGGAAATCCGCCGCCTTAAGTATATCATAGGTCTTGGCCGCGATTTTCCACTGATGGACATTCAACGGCTCCCAACCCATTTCATCAAGGTAGCACCAGCAGGCACCAAGCGGTCCTGCCGCCCTGCTCGGCTTCCTTGAGCCATACTTCTAGGCGCCGCCATTCTTGTTGGATTCTGGCGAAGTCCCTGTCTGGCCACTGCAGCAACAACCGGCGCACTGCTTTGAAGTGCTGGGCCAGAATTGTATACCACGGGTCCTCAACCTTTTGGCCATGAAATTCCAGTGTTGCATTGATGCTGGCATTGTTTGGTCTGCCCAAAACTTGTGCCAGGAGGCCCCTGAACCACTTTCGTCGCTTGGGTGCCACTCCAACACCTTCGTGACCATATAAGGCCGAGGAAAGGATGGCTCCTTTGTAGAGCCTGACCTTGATGCCAACTTTGCCGATTTTCAGCGACTGAAGCTGGGCTGCCCTGCGGGCCCCTTTTTGGTGCCTGGCTTTGGTGGTCGTGATCCTGCGCCTTGACCCGGCCGCCGAATCAAGACCCAAGTCCTTGCCCACCCCCACCACCTGGGGGCCATCAGGGCCGGCCAGGCCTGCAATGGCCTTCCCAGCAGCGTTGCTGGAGCAAACAAAAACTGTCTTTTTTGTGGAGACCTGCAAGCTCTGTGCTTCAAGGTCCTGCTTGAGCTCTTTGTAGCAGGCGTAAGCTGCTGCCGCAGTTCTTTCCACATTTTGGTCGACAGTATCGACCGAACAGTCGTCTATCCACAGATCCACATGGTCTGTGGTGCTGCGCCGGTATGCCTTGGCCACCGGTTCATGGAGAATGATCCGTGAAAGGGCCGGAGCGAGCGGGCA